ATATTCAATCATCGATTATAAAACTTTTAACAATGCCTACATAGTACGAACGAGAATGTATTTATTAGTGATGGCAAAAAAAAATCCTCGCCGCCCACACATAGGGTGTCGGGGGCCAGGCGAGGCAGTGGCCATCCATCCACTGGAATTTGGCAAAAAGAAAAAAATATTTTTCTTTAATAATCTTTATTTCAGACAATTGTGTATTGCTTTGTTTGGGAGAAAAAAAAAATCTGTGGTTAATTTCTTTTATTCCTTGCTTTATTATCTGATAAAAGAAACACAAAACTGGTGTTGAAGATGAAAATTTATGGATAATAAAGGAAATACTCAAAATTTGCTTGACTATATATATAATAAATTGAGATAATAAAGGTTCAATTAAAGCCTGTTTGAGAGTGATTTGAGAATTGATTTTTTGACTGTTAGGAAAAAAGTGGGGTCTACTTGTGAGAGAAGAAGTCAAATATAATGGTTGAAATAGTGAAATAACGGTCAAAAAATCAATTTTTTTATGAAAAAATCGGGCCCAAACAAGCCCTTACTTTTTTTTTTAGCATTATTGCATGATTATATATACCTATAATTCAAGATTTTCATCTCACTCATCATCGTACATAAAATACCGTGCAGCTGTACGGTCTCAATTTCTGTGCCGTTGTTGCCAAGCATTAAGATACTTTCTGGGACAGTTCCTTAACTAAATTAAGTGATTGTTTGGTAAGGATTTTGTTAATTGATTTTTTGATCGTTAGAGAAAAAATGGGTTCTATCAGTGACAGAAAAATGACAACTGAAGTAGTGAAATAATAATCAAAAACTTAATATTAATTGAATTAAAATCTCTATCAAACATACTCTAAACAAAGGGGGGGCGGGGGAGAGTTGCCACCCTGCCCTCACGTAAGGCAACGCGGGCACCTCGCGCACTACCCCAAACCTGACTTATTGTCATCCCTAGTATGTACCTAACATCATGCTCTATGACAATTTTGCCTAGTTGGCTTAGACCATTTATTATCTCAAGTCATTGTTAATTAGAAAGAAAGATTTTACCTTTCATAATTATATATATGGTAAAATCGAACTCCATTATTTCCTTCGTCATAAAAATACACTTGCTTTCATTTTTCACATAAATTAAAATAATATAATTACATAGGTAAAAATATAATTTTTTTTATTTTTTATTTTTACAGTTTTTCTAATATACCCGAATATTAAAAGGAGAGAGTATTTGAATAAAGCTATTTAACACCACTAATTCTACAATATCAGTCTAAATGACGTAATGTAATAGGATTAATGAAAAAAAAGAATCAAGTTCTTATTTAATTGTCCTCTCAATTAATGTTACATTAATGCATCTAAATTGATGTAATATTATCAATAAAAACATTGCTTTAGAATAATGTTATTTAGTATCATCAGTGGTGTTAGAGTACAAATTTATGTGACATTATATAATAAGTTTAATTAAATATAAAATTATATGATTTATTTAGTCAAACATGTAATTTAATGCTACTAATATTATCATATAGATTGATATTTAAATTGATGTTAAATATCAGTACTGCTAAATAGTATTACTCTGCTCCCATTAGAGATCAAATCGTGGCTGCAATAATTAATGATCACTTTCACAAAGTCCAAAAACCAAAAGTAGTAGCCCCCTGACATTTGGGGGAGAGGGGGGTGCATGTAGTGGAATTGTTAAATATTAACTACACCAATCTTTAATTTAGTTTAACAAATAATTAAATGTGGGTGGGGCCACATCAATGTCCAGACTTTCTAAAACCATGTTAGGTTAGGTACGCATGAAATAGACAGTCACTGTGCCACTGTTTGATGTCCATTATTTCATTAAAAATAAATTTTACAATAGTGAATTTTTCAAAAAAATGTGTAATTAAAAATATATAAAAAGTATTGAATTTATGTGTAAAATATTTTATTATAAAAATATGTAGTTAAAAATGAATTTTAGAAATAATTAGTTTAGAAATAATTTGAATAAAAAAGGAACTGTGTATTAGTTTACCTCGATTTTAGGCTTGACAATACATATATGGTGGTTTGTATTGTTGTGTAGCATAGCATGTCTCGATCTGGCTAAGCTTAAAATGTTTTTAGTTCTTGTTTGTTCCTTATTTTCTTAAATTTATTTTTATTTTTTAAACTTATTTCCGATTATCAATTAATTCGATTGTGATTTGTGATACTATCTTGAGAGCTAGTTTCGAGCGAACCCGCGTCATTATTAGCGAGCATTACTAAGAAGTTCAGATCATGTGCCAATCTAGCCACTATCAACGAGTATTTATAATACGAAACTTTAAGTTTGATTTGTACGAGCACACAACAAGTGCAAGTGCAAAATTTTCACATACTATTCCATATTTGCAAAAATCATCAATGAAGCACACATGAATAAGAATGTTAAACTTGTTAAACATAACTTCACAATCAATAAGTGAAGAACGCATGACGTGATGAATAAAAATAGAAAAATAACAAATTCGATTAAAGTTCACTATTCAAAAACTATCACATGCCATTAAAGAAAAAGATTTAGGGCATGTTTGAGCCCCATTTTTTTTTTTTTGTGTAAAATCAATTTTGAAATATTTTCTAGGCGGATAATAGAAGTAGACAGGCATGTATAGAGTTCAGCGACATTGTCACATTCGATACCACATATCTAATAAATAAGTATGATTTATCGTTTGTCCCTTTTTTTGGAGTAAATAATCACGGACAGTCGACACTTCTAGGATGTGGTCTTATATCAAATGAGAATACTGATACTTTTGTGTGGTTTTTTCATACATAGATGCAGTGCATGAATGGCCAAACTCCCAATGGGATAATTACTTATTAATGCAATTCAGATCGTGTTCTCCAGTACGAAGCATATGTGGTGTTTGTGGCACATATTGAAGGAGTTGCGATAGAATTTGGATTTCACATTGATAAAGTTTTCATATTCTCTTCTATGCACTGATTGGTGTATGATTCACAATTTGTTCAAGAATTTGAAGAAGACTGGATAGCGACGATAGAAACATATAATTTGCATGACAATAAATGTTGTCAAGTCTGTATGATAATAGAGCCCGTCGGGACCTTTCAATTTGAGATCCACTTTTTGGATAGGAATGTCAATAACTCAACGAAGTGAAAGCATTAATGCATTTTTCGATGGTCATGTACATTCGAAAACCTCATTGAAGCAATTTGTTGAACAATACGAAAGATCATTGAGGAATAAGGTTGAGAAGGAGTTTCAAACAGATTTCAAGTCTCTCTAGCAAATTGTTATCTTGTGCAACGATGTATGAAATAGAGACGCAATTCCACGTAACGTACACAATTACAAAGTTTAGAGAAGTTCAAGAGGAGTTCGTCGTCAAGGTATAATGCCTACACATATTTGTTGAGGAAGGATGTTTGAGGACGATATATGAGCTATGCGAAGATGTCATACATGACCATCACTATAGAAAAACATTTTTCATTACATTATCGAGGGACAAATGTGACATCATTTGTAGCGGCCACTTATTTGAGTTTCAAGAAATCATATCCAGGCATGCAATTATAGTACTAATATGCAATGACATCAAAACATTGCCAAAAATATATATTTCATGGAGATGGCGAAAATGTGATCCGGTCTCACACGAGGGTAGCAGTGAACCACTATGGTTGGTTAGTACCCCTGCGCAATTGATGTACGACAAAATGGTTAAATCAATTGCTACATTGGCAAACATGACGATGTGAAATCTTCTTCTATATTGGAATGGGTCGAAGTTTAATTTAATGAGATGGTGATGTTGAAGTCAATTTGTGGTAGTAATGTCCTCTCCATGCATATTACGCATTTGGCACCTTAATGTGCAACATCACAGGAAAATGGCAATAGATACGGTAGCATACAGGATCCAAAATGTGCAAAGAAAAAGGGTGCTCCTAAAAAACTTCGGAATAAGTCCGCATTAGAATTGAGTTCAAGTACAACTAAGGTATGTTACATTATTTGGAAGTCATTGGTTTTTTTAGCTCGTGTACAAATATGGAAAAAATAAAAGTTAGTCATGATGCGATGCAAGCAGGTGGTAGTGCAACCAAAGGGAAGAAACCCAGGACACAAAACAGTAATCTTAGAGACGGCGCAACCATTGTTCAAATATCTCAACAAACACAACAATCAATGTTGATTCCATTTTCATACTTACAATTCCTAATGGTTAGTAGATATGTTCGTGTGTGTGTGTGTACGTACACGTGCATGTTTCATTTTCCTTTATACAGGTACATGTGACTGATAAATAAAACAATTTTCCATAAAGGGTGTAAACCAAAGCTTTGAGTTTATACAACCTTTACAATCATCTTGTTCAATCCGGCCTGATGGTCCAGGTAATTATAGGGGTTCATTTAAATAGTTGAGGTTGCTTCATGTTTGTTGGTTTGTGTATTAATAATTTTGGGTGTATAGTATATTGCACTCTTACTATGTTCCATATTTGCCCGACAACAATGGCGCAAACCCACGATGTTGGACTAGTTACCATGGAATAGTCCATGGAAATAGATATCTGGTAAATACAAATTATTATGAACCTATCAATTACTCTTCTCAATTAATATCAAATATCCTTTGTTTTGGTATATGTATCAGAATGGATAATGTTAGTAGTGTCAAACTGGGCGGGCTTGATATGGTCCACTCGGGACCAGCCCAGAAAGAATGAACCGTAAATCGGCCCATAATTTAGATGGGCCAGTTCACGGGTTGTTAAATAT